GGGGGGGGGGGGGGGGGGTTGTGGAAAGAATGTGGATGCTCAGTTGGGACAGACAAGTCTGGGTAATATACTGATCTCAATTAACTCTAATTGTTCATCGATACTCGTTGATTTTTTTTTCTGATTTTTTTTTCTCAATACAAAAGTAAACTAGACTAATACTTTAACCCGTTTCCCAAACTTTTTTTGTTTTGTTTTAAGGCTGCATATATAGGTACCCGGGTACATATGGTCGCCAATGACTATTCGCACCCGTAGTGGCTCCGTACATATTAAATGACTTCGGAGCCGGGTGTGATAACAATAATAGTATGATAATTATTTTTTTTTTATTGTTTTTTTCTCCTTATTACTTCATTGATTAATAGTTTTACTATTTTTAGTTGTTTTTTATTTTTGCTTTGTTAATTTCTCTTAGTACCGGTAGATTTTTTGTTCTTTCTTATTTTCTCTTTTTAGTTTAAGCCATTTTCGTAGATCAATTATTATTTTTTTTTTAAATCTAGTAATGAAGATGATTTAGATACATTTATTGTTTTCATTTGAATTTTAGACAAGAAATGATATTAATTTAATTAAAATTAAATCCTTCAGTTAAGATTATGTATGTGTATTTTTTAAGTTAAAAGATTGAATCACACAGTACTTTATGAATTAATTAGGATCGCTTTTCAATTGTATTTTATGGTAAAGTATAGGGTAAATGAAATAAATATTTAAGATCACAAAAGTAGAGTGTGCAAGATTTTAACCATGGCCCCGTGCTGAATGTCACGCACGCAAGTGGCTGCTGGTTCGGGATGATGATGACAATGAACATCACTAAGTTCTACATAGACCTAGGAACAATTCTGCGTTTTTTTTTTGTTTTTTTTATTGCGTCTACGTTTTCGAACAGATGTACACCTAACCCTCTGTAGTACCAGTGTTTCTCAAACTTTTTTCCCCCTTCACCACGCCACGCCCACTGACACCATAAAGTCATCCCAAGCGCCCCCAAACACGTACTACACAAAAATATAATTTTTTAGATCAGGTGTTTAAGACAACTATGAAGGGAGATAAGAGATCAGTGAAATGTTTTATGTAACTAAAATTTCAATTTATTTTCAAAAATGTACTTAAAGAATTTATTAAATAAAGTTATTATCTTGATCCATTATTACCGTAGATTTTTAAAGTAGGATTATGATTAAGCACATAATAATAGTACTGGTAGCTTACTTCTACATCGCTCAAACATATTTTTATTAGATATTTATCTTTTTAAAGTGATACCATTTGTTCAATGACCTGTTAACGCAACTCTAGCAGCACCATCATTGCTTTCAGACACGTTTATTATCTATCTGAAATAAACTTTAAAAAATAAAAAAAAAAAAAAAGGTGTGGGGGGGGGGTTGGGGGAACGAATTTTCCAAAAAAATTGCAAATACAACCTTTGTACTTTTTCCAAACCACTGAGCACAGCGCAGGATAATGACAAGAAATCTACTTCTGAAGCTTTAATATCACCTCAATAAATAGTTTAAGTTGCATTAGCTCATCAAACATATTACGAAATGCATCTGTACCCGAAAATGGATTTGTCCGCCACTCTAACGTTTCAATCAAAGAAGATCCTAAAAGCATTTTTTTTGGTACCA